TCATCATCATCATCATCATCATCATCATCATCATCATCATCATCATCATCATCATCATCATCATCATCATCATCATCATCATCATCATCATCATCATCATCATCATCATCATCATCATCATCATCATCATCATCATCATCATCATCCACCTCGTCCTCCTCGTCCTCATCCTCCTCCCGACCGTACCCTGGTTCCTGCTCCATACGTTCACTTCCAGACACCTCGAATCAACAAATTCCGACGCTGCCCTCTGCCGCGCTTCCGCCTGCGGAGCCGCCGCCGCTTCGCTTCCGCCCCAGCCTCCGCCAGCGCCCCCGAAGGCGTCCGCCGAGGGCGAAGCGCGGCTGGAGGCGAAGCCAGTTCTGGAACGCCCTGTGTCGTGGTCCTGCTCTTGGCCCTCCTCGCTCGCGGGCGAGCGCGCCTCCAGGGCCTTGACGGCGCGGATGGCACCGACGGCTGACCGCGCAGCCTCCGGGTCCCCCGCTGCTTCCACCTCCGTGTCGTCTGCCAACTTCTGTTTCCAAACCTCCTACCAGCCTCTTCTCCTTCTCTCCTTGTTTCCACCCTCCTGACTCTCTGCTCCTCCTCCCCCTCCTCATCCTCCTCCTCCTCCTCCTCCTCCTCGTCATCATCATCATCATCATCATCATCATCATCATCATCATCATCACCACCACCACCACCACCACCACCACCACCATCATCATCATCATCATCATCATCATCATCAGCATCATCATCAGCAGCAGCATCGTCATCGTCATCATCAACAGCAGCAGCATCAGCAGCATCATTATCAGAATCACCATAATCATCATCACTGCCATCGTCACCGTTATCATCACCATCAGCATCATCACCACCCGTATCATCACCATCAGCATCAACATCAGCATCAGCATCATCATCATCATCATCATCATCATCATCAGCAGCAGCAGCAGCAGCATAATCACCATCATCAGCAGCATCAGCATCATCATCATCAGCATCAGCAGCATCATCATCAGCAGCATCGTCCTCATCATCATCATCATCATCATCCTCATCATCAGCAGCAGCAGCATCAAACCAAGCATCAGCGTCACCATCAACAGCAGCAGTGTCATCATCATCGTCAACAACAACATCAACATCATCGTCAGCATCATCATCTTCACCATCGTGATATAGCCTGTGGTGAACTAGCGGTACTATATCTAGTTTGAACATTGCGGCAGGTCGAGGCATAATAAGCGGGCGACAGACTTAAAGAAATAATTAAGCGCTTGAACCTGACACCTGGGTTCTGAGGGGGAGGAGAGCAGCTTGCCCCATGAAAAGCAATGGACGCGGGGGGGGGGCATTCAAGAGACCGACAAACTTGCACCATTTCTAGAGCATTGCTGCGCCCGCACTCCCATGATGCAGCCTGTTGTACAGCAGCGGTACGTCCAGAAAGAACGTCGCACGCAGCTCAAAGTAGCCGAAGCGGGCGACATGCTTAAACAAGGGATGAATTGCTTCAAACGTGGTTCCCGAAGCATCCCAAAGCCGGATGTTTTCTTACTTTGGGAAGATGTTTTGGGGGGCCACGTGGCCCTGGTACTGGCTAGAAGGACATGTACTGGCGCTCAGCACAAAGAGGGAGGACAGGGAGCCCCGCAGGGGGCGTGACCCTCGAGCGCGGGACGCGAGTTGGGGAGCGCACACTTTGTCCATGGCAGCGGCGACGCAATCGATGGAGGGCGAACTTTTCGACCTGTCCACGCAAGACACGCGCGGCCTTTCTCCACCTAGTTTCGAATCGACAAGAATATGAGACAGCCTGGAACACCCGCGATTTTCGGGAGACATCCAAGACGGCAGGCGCTTTAAAGAGATACGAGGAGTGCGGATCCTATATGACCCAGGGCGCCTGGCAACGCTGACACTCACGAGCTACGCGAGCGGCCGCCATCATCGGGCGATTGCCAACGTTCACCTTGAATTGGTCAGTTCCGCACAAACCTGGGACCCCCATCGGGGGCGCTAGAGTTCGCAACGAGCGATGCCCAAGGAGCTACAATGGCAAAGCTGGTGCCAAGAGGACACATCACCACTGCAATGATCTTTCCCGAGCGGATGTCGGCGACCACCCCGCGCATTACCTCAGGCCTTTGGACGCCCCCTTCGACCCCGCTCACAAGGCCGAAGTAGCACACGAAGAATCCACTCAGCCGCTTTCGCCGCTGAACGCGCCGGCGAAATAGCAGCCTTCTCGAACAGGAAGAATCCACGACCCTCGGGCACTGGCACGGTCGGCCCGCTCATCAAGATGCCCTCGAGCCCCCTCTCGCCGTCGGCCGCCTGCCTGAGCAGCCGCTAAGGGGTGGAGCGACGCCGAGTGGCTCGACCTCGCAACCTTTTTCGCACCTTGCCGCCGACTTGTCTGCGCGCCATCGGCCAGGCCCCGGTCGACGCCGGCGCCCGGTCGATGCCCGCGCCCGAGCGGCGCGCCCGGCACGGCGCTAGCTCCTTCAGCCCCAGGATCTCCGCCGCCTCGCGGAACAAAGCCACGCGCCGGCTGCAGTTGAAGCCCCGCGCGCTGAAGCCCGCCCACCAGGGGCGCCACTGTTCCAGCAACGGGCCGCACCACTGGCACCACTTGGAGTCCGCCGCCAGCGGCAGGTCGGGGAGCGCAGCTCCTCGGGATCGATGAGCAGCGTTCAGCTCCGATCCCCGCTTCGACACGGCCGTTCGAGGCCGTCGGGCATCAGGCTCAACAGCTGGGCTGGCCGCAAGTTTGCGCAGAGGTCGCGAACAACGCCATCTGCGACTGGCCCAGCGGCGCCAGGCAACGCACAATTCGCGCCGGATGCTGAGCGGCCTTGGCCCCCGCGAGCGGGGCGAGCAGAGCCATCTTCACCCTCGCAGGCCCCTTCGCGACCGAGGCAACTTGCGACCCCCACGGCGGCCGCAAGCGAGGCCCCTCCGCGACCGAGGCCCCTCCGCGACCAAGTGCATCAGGCCCGCGATGACCTGCGCCCCCTTGCTCGGCTGCTCGTCCCGGAAGTAGCTGGCGAGCTCGACGTCGAGGTCGGCAGCGTCGAAATCGCCGAGCGCTCCGACCCCCCGGTCGAGCCTCTGCGCGCAGCTCTCAACATCCGCCAGGCAGTCGGCGGCCGCCCGCGCGGTCACCGCGCGGCCCTCCTGCAGGGTGGCCACCTTCTTGCGGGGGGCCAGGCGCTCCGTCAGGCAGCGGGGCCAGCGGGGCCTCCGCCGGCGCTCTGGCGCACGACCCCGCCCCAGGTCGAGCCCAGCCCCGCTCTCGGACGGGGCCTCGCTCGAGGTCGCGAGGGCCTGGGCCGGCCGCCCACCGTCTTTTTCGGCCGCGACGCTGGCGCTCTCCCGGTTGGCGCCGCCTACCGCCGACGGCATCTCGGGCGCCGAATCCGACCGCGTTGGCGCCGGGCCTCTGCGCGGGCCCCGCCGCGCGCACCCTGGCCGCTCACTCCAGCGCGCGCCTCCGGGCCAGCTGCGCCTCGCGCCAGGCCGCCAAAGAAGCCGGGGCCCTCCGGCGGCCCGAGGGCGCCGCGGCGCCATCCCAGCACCTCGAGGGACTTGAAAAAGCCGCGGCTCAAGTCAAAACGCTCACGACGCGGCGAGATGGGCACCGGTGGATCCGCTTACATTCACGACTCGGCTCAGACAGAGAGCCGCTGAACGCGCCGAAAAAAAGCACCCCACTCGCCAGGATCAGCCGCGCAACCCCAGGACCCCTGTCGCAAGATCGGCCCCCCCCCCAGGTGGCGGGCGAGCAGGAGCGACGCGATGGGAAAGGCGTCGCAGATGCATATCGGCCAGTCCGAATTGCTGAGTCCATTGGCAAACCGGCGCAAAGCGTCTTTCGTGGACTGCGGACTAAACAATGAGCGGCAAAGACGCGGATCAGAGCCAACGCCCTGAAACCCCCACCCCTGAAATTGTCGAAGCTCAAACAAACGCTCGCGCTATCGACGAGACGGATCCACCTGGCATGCATATTTTCCGAACGAGCTCAGCGCCACTCTGCCGAGTGACGTCGCGAGCGCTCGAACCTCCGAGAGCAGGATGGGCTGCGACCCCTTCCAAGCGCCGGACCGGGGGGGCGCGGGGGCGCGGGCCGCGCCGCCTGGAGCAGAGCCGCTGTCCTGGCCGGCGCCGCGGGCGAGCTGTGGAGGGGGATCTGTTCAGGACAAGAGGGGCAGGCGCGGCGCGCCACGCGCTCGCTGGCGGGCCCGCCGGGGGGAGCGACCCTGGAGCGGCGCGGGGGCGCCGCAGAAGCGAGGCCACGGGCCTCCACGCTTCTCTTTTCGACCTCCTCGATTCGGCTCGAGAAGCCCTTTAGTTGGCCGCCGATGGCCTTCAGCAGGTCGCGTTCGACGCCCCCGAGAGCGCTCTGCAGATCGATGGTCCCCCGATGCGTTGACGCGTCGCGGGGTTGCGGCTCTCTTAGCGCTGCTCGCCGCAGGCCCCTGCCTCGCCGCGCGCCCCGCGCAGCCGCCCGCCACGGGGGGGGCGGCTGGCGCGGCCAGCGGCAGCGTCGCCCGCCGAAGGGGGCGCGCTTGGCAGGGGGGGGGCCACGGGCCCCCCAGACCCGCCTGGAGCCCCTCTCCCTCCGCGCCCAGGCTACCCGCCACACGGGCTCCACGTGGCCGGCCTGCCCACTCCTGCGCGGCAGCCTCCTTGCGGGCTGCGTCGACCTCGTCGTCTCCCACGCCCTCGCCGCCCTGCTCGTCGGCGGCGACCTCCCCAGTTGATCTGGCCATCGACGGCGAGCTGGGTGCCGACGCGCCCCGGGCCGCCCCGGGGGCGTGGGCGGGGAACGCGACGGAGGGGAGCAAGGCCCCGATGTTCCAGTCGTCGGGCCGCGGGCCGAGATCGGCCAGCAAGAGCACGTCGGGCTGCGCCGCCGCGCAAGCTGAATCGAAAAACTCGATCTCCGCGCAGCTCTCGGCGAGTCGCGCTGGAACGCCGGCGAGACCTTCATGCAGGCCACGTCTGCAGGCATCTCCTCGCCCAGGGCCGACCGCAGCGCCACCGAGACATAGTCTACGGAGGCGAGCGAGCCAGCGGCGTCGCAAGGGAGGCAGACGGCAGGCACCACGACGAGGGGCTCCTCCAGCTCGAGGTCGCCGAGGTCGCCCTGCGCCAGGGCGTCGACGGCGACGGAACCATCGAGCCGCGCGAACTCGGCGCCGACGACCCGGGCCTCGCACGTCGCTGCCGCGCCAGCGGCGAGGGCACTGGCTATAGGCAGCCCGAGCAGCCACGAGCGGAGCAGGCCGTCCCCGGTCCGCTGCACCGCCCCCGATGGCAACGTCGTCATTACGCCCTGCAGTTCAGCCGAAGTCCCCGACAATGTACGAGTAGTCCCGCTGCTCGCCGAGAAACTCGTCGACTGCCTCGCCCAACGGCGGGAACCGCCGCAGGCGATCCCGCCCGCTAGTGTACCTGCCGTCTCCAAGTTTGGCGACCATCGCCTGCCACGCGATCGCGCCTCCTCCGCGCACCCCGACGAGGTCCTCGCTCGAACCCGGGGCGGCCCATCTCGTAGCAGTGGCTGCCAGCGGCAGGGGCGGCCCGAACCACAGGTCGGGCACCTGCAGCCCCTCTGGGCGGCCCGCGATGGGTGCTATCTGGGATGACGACCTGGAGGGCCCACTCTGGGTCTTCCGCCGCCTCTGGTGCGGCCTCTTCGCCGCTGGGAGTGGCCCCTGAGTAGGCTCGTGGACCGCCCGCGCTGTGGCCGCGGGCCCTCCACGCATCAACCGCGGACACGCCCGGCGCTCAGCGCGGGGCGTTCTCGGTCCGAGTCCTTCTACTATCAGAACCGCTGTGTTTACATCATCGTCATCATCGTCATTATCAGCATCAGCAGCATCATCATCATCATCATCATCATCATCATCATCAGCAGCAGCAGCAGCAGCAGCAGCAGCAGCAGCATCAGCATCGTCGTCATCATGAACATCATCCTCATCCTCATCCTCATCCTCCTCATCCTCATCCTCCTCATCCCCTCCTCCTCCTCCTCCTCATCCTCCTCCTCCTCCTCATCATCATCATCATCATCATCATCCTCATCCTCATCCTCATCCTCATCCTCATCCTCCTCCTCATCATCATCATCATCCTCACCATCCGATTCGTCCTCCTGGGCTGCCATCCTGCCACCTCTTGTCATTATTCCTCCTGCTCCTCCTCGTACTCCATCCCTTGTCCTTATGAATCGCTCCTTTCTGTCTCGCCCCCAGACGTGTCTGTAGGGCGTGCCGGGCGTTGCGCCAGAGACTTCCTCGTCACTTGGGATAACGAAGCTTGACCGTTGCCAAGGGGTCACAAAGGGTCTATCGCTCTAGCACCGCGCACAGTCGCCTCAAAGCTCGCAACCGCTCCACGGGCGGAGAGCGGATGGTCTTCAAGATGTGGGTCTCGCCTTGGCGCCGCGCACCCGCGCTCTTGAAAGCTTGCAGTTGCTTCACGGATGGAGGGCGAGTCGTTCTCGAAATGGTGTTCTCGCCCTGGGCCCGTGCACGCGGGCCCTTTTCCAAATGCGGTTGTCGCTTTAGCGCCGCGCCGCGTGGCGACTCTCACGCCACGGCGAAGACATGAGGGGCGTGTTTCCTCTGGGGGCGGTACTGCAGCGAACCCCCTCAATCCAGATATCGGCACATTGTCTGCGCATTGTGCCCTCTACCACACGAGTGCAACCTGTCTCACAGGCACAATCCTATGATTATATGGCAATGCTGCTTTCAATTCCTCTGACCCTGGACACTGGCGCCACCTCCATAAGGCAATCCGTGACGTGCACACCGTGCCGTTGCAGCGTATGGCTGTTTATCGCCGCTGTATCACCACTAATTCTTGGGACCGCACCAAGCAAGCAACTGTTCCTTGGCTGATGTTTGCGCTGGTTGGGGGAAAAGGCGCCGCGCACATGCGTCTTACAAGCTTGCAGCAGCTACAAGGATGGAAGGAAGTCCGTTTCAAAATCGTGTCGTCACCACCACACACACACACGTCGTAAACACACGCAGCAGCTACAAGGATGAAAAGGCCGAAATCGAGCTCTCGCTTCAAAGCTGCGCACATTCGACTTAAGAGCTTCCTCCAACAGGTCTGCGCACGGAGGGCTGTTCCTGTTCAACATGTTGTTCTCCCTTTGGCGCCGTGAGCATTCACACGGATGGAGGGCGGATCCTTTTCAGGCTAGAAGTCTCGCTTGAGATATCCTCCAAACTCATGGCCAGAGGGGCAACCTTGTGCAACAGTTACACCATGTGGGGCGGTCCTTCTTCAAAACGGGACTCTCGCTGAACACCTCGCTGAACTGCATGATCGTGCCATTTCGCATTCCTCAGTTGTCTCTAGAAAGATGCAACGCAGTTCCTTTTCAAAACGGGGTTCTCGCCGTGAATGACAGGCCAAAGAGGTGCTGGTCTTTCAAGGAGACGCATCTTGTACTGAGCGAAAGGTTCTAGGGATCTCTGAGTTATGAACGAGAAGGTGTACTGCAGCATCGTTAATGCAGCTTGCATTTACTGATGTCCTCCTTCTCCTCCTCCTCCTCCTCCTCCTCCTCCTCCTCCTCCTCCCCCTCCCTACTTACCTCCCTGCCTACCTGCCATCCTGATGCTTCTGGTCCCGCTCATACTTTTGCTCTCGCTCCTGAATACGCTTCCTCCCCTGCTGTTGCTCCTTCTCTGGATACTCCTCCTCCCGCTTCGGTTCCTCCTGCCCGTCTCGACGACGTCGCCGACGACGGAGACGAAGCCGCCGACGCCAACGTCGCCGCCGCCGCCGCCGCCGACGACGACGACGAAGACGACCAGGCACGCAAGCAGACATGCAGGCAGGCAACGACGCCAAAGTCGACGCCGAGAGCGGTGGCGACAACGACGCTGACGACAACAACGACGACGACGACGACGATGACAGGCGCTCGCCTGGGCGCCGCCTCCGGCTCGCCGCGGCCCGGGCGAGACTTCCCGAGCGGCCTGCGAGGGGGCGGAGAGGGTGGAGCGAGGGGGGTGGGCCTAGAGATGGGGCAGCATGGCAGGAGAGGAGGAGGAGGAGGAGGAGGAGGAGGAGGAGGAGGAAGAGGAGGAAGAGGAGGAAGTGGCGGGGGGGGGGAAGAGGAGGCTCGGTAGGAACAGGACGGGGGGAGGGGGATCGCAGCCCGCCTTGCTCGGCGCCGGCCGCGCCCCGCCCCCCCAGCCTTCGGCATATGATACCTCCTTCGGGCATTTCGCCGCAAAACCATCCCAAAATCTTCGGGCAAGCGCGAATGCCACTGTTGTCACCCCCGCTTGGGGGAGCCCACTGAATCCTCGAGTAGGGTAAAGCACGTTGACCACCACCGAGGATAGAAGCTGGCCCTGATCTCGAGCTGCAATCGAGGATGCGATGTCGCAGCAATCGCCCCATGGAAACCCTGCACGACAGCTGGAAGGCATAAGATTGACCCGCGTTTCCGAAGATAGCGCAGCGCATGCGCGCGACGCCAGACGGCTGGCTCGCGATCGGAGCTGATCTCGGCGTCAAGCCCGCTCGGGCACTGAAAACCGATCAACAGTGCCCATGGGGTCGTCGTGACCACAGTAGTCACATTGGGCTTACGTGCAGTAGGGCATCGAAAACCGACTGACTCCTGCGTCTCGGCTGCGACCGAGCCGCGGAAGGCGAGCTGATCGCCGCTGCCCAAGATGGCGCCGCAATGACGCGCGCTGGAATATCAAGCCTGCTGCGCAGCTGCCGGCATAGTGCCGACCATCGCCGGACCATGGCGCACATGCCCATGCAACCGGTAGCTGCACAGATGGCGCGCGAGGCAACCGTGCCACGGGCGCTCCCTGAGCTGCGCCGCGACTGCGCCGGGCACCTGGATGCCCACCACGAGGAGGGCCTGCTGCATCAAAGGTGGGGCAACCCTTCTGCCCCGCACCTCTGCTGACATCTAATGACAGGGGCAACGCCTCGCCCGCACCGATGGATCACGTTGAAATTCTGATCGAGAGCATTGGTTCGCCGCGTGCTACCGCGGGGTGGCCCACCGCGAGATGGGCCAGAATCTCCCCCCGCTGATCAACTTTGCAGGGCACTGGCAGAAAGACCGAAAAGCGGACACGGGCATATGTATTCCACTCATTCGCGTCGGAACCGCTGAGTTCAAATACTTCACGCACGCTATTGCGTCAGACCTTTCCCGGGCGAGCTCGCAGACGCGGCGCGTCGGCGGGGAAGAGCTCGTCGGCCGCCCCCTGCCCCGCACCGAGCAGGCGAAGCGTCGCGATGTTGAGCCTGGCACTCGGGGGCGACATGCCAGAGCGGCGCGCGCCAGGGCCATCGCCCGCTGCCGCGCGAAGGGCCCAGAATAACTGCGCGTCGCCGCCATGAGGACACGCGCGGAGAAGCGCAGGGGCGCCCAGCTTCCTGAGCAGGCTGGCGGACCCGCACTCCCCGAAAGCCATCCGCCCCACGGCCCCCCTCGGACGCGCATTCGCACGCGAAAACACTTGCCCTGGGCCCCCTCCTTTAAGGGGGCACGTCACCCGGCCAAGTTGGGAGCGCCGCCGACGCCGCCGCCCCCCCCCGCCGCAACCCCTGGCCCGTCGCAACGCTGGCACTCACGCGCTGGTTGACACCAAGGGGGGTCGGCATCCGTCTGATTGTCAGGCCCCGCTGCGCGCTCAGATACATCGCAGCTTGCACTCCGCCATCAACCTCTTCGCGAACGCAAGCTGGCGCCGAACCGATGTGATCATCGCTGATCTCGGTGGCGACGCGCCCCTCAATGATCACCATGTTGGAGATGAAGAACGCCCGAAAATCCTGCAACTGCACGTGATTCGCGAAGCCCCTGGTTTATGGTTTCATCTATGTGCTCGTACCGCGCGAGATCTGGGCCCTCGCAGCTGCCGCCTCGCACAGGCTCTTCAGCATGTCCAACTCCGCCCGCGCCTCCGGGTCGAGCCGCGCCGCGACGCCGCGCATCTGGTCGCCGCGACCGCCGCCGTCGCAACGTTGAGCCGGAGAGGGGAAGGCCGGACGCGTCGCGCCCGATACTATCCCAGGCTACGTTGCCCCACGTCAGGGACAGCAGTCGCGCTCGCTTCCGATGAGGCCCCCACGCGATTGGCAGGGTATGCCAGGGAGAGAGACCACTCCGTCCTGCCCTGGACAGCGGGCCCAAATTGGGCGCCACTG